ATGGTTAACAGACAAGCTGAGTCACATTTAGGTTACACACAACCAAATGTTTTCACATAGACTTCTATAGTAACGTTATATTTTTTAAAAACTAACTAAGCATTCAACAGCTATTACCTGAACGTGTGTGCACAGTTTGGCCTTAGAGCAGCAATAAAACCAAAAAAAATGACCAGCTTAGCCAGCTCCTTTTCCGAGTACAGGAAGCTAAACACACCACCCCAATTTCGCACCAAATGTCACCTACTTGAAAATAGCTGTGGTCACATTCAGCATAAGTCATCATGTTGAAAAAGACAGCACTAAATAGAGAAACACATGGTCAGTTTTAATAACTGGATGGATGTTCATTTAAAAGACATAAAAATCTTACACAATATCCTCCAATCACAGCCTGCAGATATGTCTCAATCTGCACTGAAGGCTCCCTACGAAAACCGCACTGTCCCATCTGGTTCTGATTTGGTGTTGTAGAACCTGAAGTGAAGGTCCTCTGTTAAACCTTAGAAATAGAAAGACTGAGCAGGAATCTTACTACCCATGTCCTGCCTCTGGGAGCTACTTTGACACTCCCAATGGGATACAGGTCAGAAGTGACCCCAGCAGCCAGTGCTTGTGTGTCTTTGTATCCTGATGGCGTGGATTGTTGCTTACAATATTGATCACTGGATAGGCTTGTCCAGTTTATATTATATACAGGCCGCCGTCATATGTCAGGAATATTGCTGAGTGCGGCATTAAACAATGAACATATAACTACCGTATTCGACGTAATAAGCGCCCCGCTCTAATAAGCGCCCACGGCGATATTTGCTAATATATTGGCAAGTGAACAATCCCAATTAGCACCCCTTCCGATTGATCAATGTACACAAGACATATTTATTCGTGTATAATACGCACTCGTGTGTTATATGCACCCTTAATTATGGGCAATTAAACAGTATATAAACAGTTCAGGCCGTCAGCATAAACCACGAAATTTATCTTTCAACTGTTTTTTTTCACCAAAATAATATTCTAATAAGAGCCCCCTATTTCTAATTTTGAGAGCGCCCTGGGCGCTTATTACGTCGAATACGGTAAGTAAAAATGTCAGCCTTTATGGTGTCCATCTTGGGAATATATGTACGTCCTTTATGGTGTGTAACAAGAATAAGTTAAGTTTACGGCAGTATGGACAATCCGTGAAGCCTGAGAGATTCACAATATTTCTGGAAGAGAAATGATATTAATTACATTGCGAACCCCGGTCTTCAAATTACCATCATAATCTGCTGTTATTGACAGTGTCATGTTTACCTGATAGGCTTTGGAAATTTGAACTTTAAGAGGTAAAGAGCAGTACATCATTTATGCATTTGTAGTCAACAAATGGAGCTATTTATGGGACTTAGTACCTGAGATAATGGCCCTGTATTAAGGTTAATTGAGGCTCCATCAATGACAATAACCCTGATTTCTGTGGGCAATATGGAGGCTTTCATCCTGACTGGTCATTGACCAGTGGCATTTGAAAGATCATCAGTTATATGGGTTGTGTGTGTAGTTTTCTCATCAACAATATTCATGTCAGAACCAGAACTATTTGGACTTTGAATTTAAGCCATTTATTTGATTTAAGAAGCATTCCATTGAGTTTTAGTATTTTTGAAAACAATGTCATACAATTTACTACAAACAGTATTGCTATCATTTTTCTCATGATTTTTTATCGAACATCATTTTTTATCGAACTTCATATTTGGCTTAGAGTCTCAAAGGTACTGCTTGAGGCTTTCCACCTTCCATTCCTCATCATAACTACAAACCAGATCTAATCTACAGGTGTACTTTATCATGTTTCTATCACTGATTGGTCTTGAGTGTTTGTCAGTGCGGTGTACATGACAATGTGTGTGCAAGCCTCTCGATGCCGACACACTATATCCTGCTTGTGTGACCACCAGCTGAACACAGCCTGACTCAAGTAATGATGGTCATCAACCGAAGTATCTCAAAGTAAAAATCACATAGTGCATAGCTGGAGGCTCTTGTCAATAAGAGGTTACCATTTGATCACATGGAGTACATTTATATCCCAGTAAGGCCAAAATAATAAATATACGTTTCCTGTTTCCCAACCGACCTAATCTTGAGCCTCTGGCCCAGAACAATTTTTCTTATTTTGTTTATTGCGCCATACTTTTCCACAGTTTATGCTATTTGCTTAAATGTGCTTCTCTATTGATAAACCTATCATTATTTTCAATAGGGTAATATTTAATTTTAAAATATATAAAATTTAAATACAGTCATTTCAAATTAAAATTTCAGTTTTTCAAAGAAAAAGGTTATAAACACAACCCTGAAACAACTTGCTAACACTGTTTTGATATGGGCTGAAATAGGAAACACACACATTTTGTTTTGGCCTAAATGTAGTGCAGACACTACATCGTGTACCTTTCATGCACAGTGTGACATTTAACAGTGCTAGCCTCTCATCGTTTTACCAGACATAATGTCCCCATAATGTATTGTCACTTTTCTTCATGTAATAATTAGCTCCTGAATGTTCCAGTGTTGTCATCTGTCACTACATGGGACTATCATTACTTCCACAATTAGTTCACTATCCCTGAGAGAGTGCTGGGTAAAGTCCTGATCAGGCCATGACCCTCCTGTGTGAGCTTGTTGGGCTTATTGCATGCAGTGACACCAAGAGGTAGTGTCTCGTAAATCAGTTCCCAAGGGAATTCAGGACACAATAGGTCTCTGGTATCCCATACTTGGGGCCAGAGCTACCAGTAACGAGACATCCAGTGTTCACACAACAGTCAGTGGTTTGCGAGCTGGCGTATACTTGATAGGTGCTTGGCAATCCTGTGGAACAGGACAGTTTTGAGGTTTGGTCAAAAATTGCCCATCAGTGCAGTGATGTTTTCTAATTAAGAAATAAACGATGTGTGGGAGTTGTTTATTCTGAAATCCGGCAGTGTTTTTTACTGTACGATAAACAACGACCACGAGTCGTTTATTTCTTATATCAACTATGTATCAACTATGTACAGCCTTAATTCAAGGTGATAAGATTAAACTTGGCATGAAACTTCTGTAAGGATGGGGACTTGCTGTGAAAAGGATTTGGTCAAGATTTTTCAGGTGCCTAGGTCTGCATTCATATTTTTGTACGACATGGTTTATTTGTGATCATCAGTTTCTGTGGCATTTTCATGTTTCTGAACAAATGCTCCAACATCACATGTGACTTATTCTTATGTCAAAGGTTATGGTCATCTTTGATGTAACTGAAAAATATTTGGATCATACTTTCTCTTGATGGTCATATTCCACATGGACCTGGGTAAATCATTTTGGCACATTCCATGAGAAAGGTCAAAGATCAAGGTCATCAGCTGGAAAGAGTGAGTGAGTGAGTTGGGTTTAACGCCGCTTTTTACAGTATTCCAGTCATATCGCGGCGTGTCAGCTTAATGTGGGAGGAAAGCCCGAAGTGATGCAGGTTTCAGATGTTTACCACTTCGGTGAAACCCACCAGCACTGGTATGGTGCTGACAAACCTAGAAACTAGATTGGGGCGAACCGGGATTCGAACCCACAATCATAGGTTTCTGGTGTGCCCAAGGGACGCAACTCTGCACAGTGAATCGCGGCGCCATAGACAACTGGGTCACCCGTGCCCCCCAGCTGGAAAGAAGTTGGTTTGGTGGTTACACTTTTTCAGAAGGTGTATAAGTGTTTATCATTAATCTTAGTGCATGTTCTTGTGTTAAATGTAGAATTCTTGATAAGGAACTACAGCTGTGTAGAGAACTTGTCTTGATGACTGTCAAGGTCTGAGAGCAATGTTTTGTGAGCAAAACTGGTTTGTTAACATTATTGGAGCTTTCAGGAAATTGCAGTGAAGAGGCTTGTTTTGTTTTTTTTAAGTCTTTGTACAAACACCTAGCATGTCTGCAACGATGTTGCTGGAATATTGCTGTCTGGCATGAAAAAAATGTGGCAAGCTTCATTTTGCAGGATAATTAGACATTGTGTGATAATTGCTAATGGTGATGTTAATTGCTAATGTTAAAGTATTAATAACAGGAACTATACCTACGGAACATATTCAAGAAATAGTCACATATCAATCATTCATTTTCTGAGATGAAGTTTCTTTAACTATGCACACAGATGTGATGGTGTTTGAACTTTATTAGCCTGTAATGCACATTGGCACAGTGGTTAAGGTGCTGCACCGATGTTTGGTTTGAATCCCAGATGTACACAGTAATTGACATCTGATACCCCATGTTACTTCCAGCATTCCTCTTACATCATGAGACCACCTCTGTGGTCAAGTGATAGAGTGTCTGCCCAAAGAGTGGAAGGTCGAGGGTTCAATTCCCTGCCTTGTCTTTACAAAAAACGTTAAAAAATGGTACTTCTTTTTACCCTGCTTGGCACTCAGAATTAAGGGGCTAAAACAAAGACTGTTTGCTTCGGAGTCAGGATACTCCGAAGCATAGTAACTCTGTGGGTTAGCGCTGTAAGATCGGCGGCATTAGTCCGGATTAGCATGTGCTCTGAATCAATCTTTGAAAGACTTTAGTTAATCTACCAGGTTTGTCCTGAAAAGTGATCATAGCACTCAGGTAATGACTCAAAACTCGCAGACTTTATCATTTGTGACTGCCATAATTATGCAAAGAAAGTCTTATGGCCAATATTGAGGATAGGACGGTTCCAGTGTGTGACCTAGCTGACTGTTTGCCATCATACCCCAATGGCAATGATCATTTGCTCACGCTATCAACCGCTAGCCAAGAGTTGCCTACATGTATTTACGGGCAGGTATGACATTACTGGAATGTTGTGAAGAAGGAGGTGTAAAGTAGCATCCACTCATTAAATTGCTGTAGTATCAGAGGAACTGCTTGAGAGCATGTAATCAATAAACGTAACTCCAAATGCAGTTACGACCAAAATTCTAACAACTGTTTCTCTGTTGACAGGTCCATTCACACGTCCCCACCCAGCCATATGGAGGATAGTGTTTGGTAAGTATTGTCCAGCAGACTTCTCAAACACGTTTACAAAGCAGACAGCCAACTTGACACTTGTTCAATGGCCAAGCATGTGAATTTAATCTTGTTGTTTTGTTTTGTTGTGAAGCTAACCTGTGCACAGTAATTCATTGTCTCTCTGTATTAAATATCAAGTCGCTGTGACCTCTCTCAGCAGTGTGATCAATTCTCGCTTTGTTCTTGGGATTTGGGACCGACTCTTTATACAAAAGTGCAAATGTACAAATGGAGAGTACAAATTTGACAAACATGTCATCGCCCACATTTGGGTCTCTTCACAGGGAGGCAAGCCCCCACTGCTATATGGTAAAGTTAACAGTCGCTGATCAGTGCTGATCTGTACTAATAGTTCCAAATGAGCATGTGTCAGTAATGTCAATAAAAAACAAAAACAAGTATGCATGGTAATCAAACGTATGTTAATGGTAATAATATGCAATAGTCTCTTTGAGAATATTTGTATAAGCTAAAGGAGAGGAAAACATTGAAATGATAAGCGAACCAAAGGTGAGCGACGTCTGCCATTTCCTTTCACAGACAACAGGGCCACCTCCAACTATTTGGTAACTTATCTACCATGTCTATAAGTACACATTGTTCTGAGCTCTGCTTGGATGTTGAATACTGCAAGTCCATGCACTCAAACACATTGAACTGGAAGTCAGTATTGTTACATCATAAAGTAAGCATGTACTACACTGTATTGTCTTTCTCTATTGGGCAAACTGTCAGGTACTGTTCCCTGTGTTAGGCAAGCTAATTGTAAGTGTGTATAACTCACGCTCCCCTCAGCCTTTTTCTTTGAACATACGTATGAATTGCCGATGCTACATGCTGTTGTTTGTGTTGTTTCAGGCATGAGTGTTCTATACTTCATGTTGTTGTTTTTGTTGTTTCAGGCGTGAGTGTCTAATACTTCATGCTGCTGTTGTTTGTGTTGTTTCAGGTGTGAGTGTCCAATACTTCACGCTGTTGTTTGTGTTGTTTCAGGTGTGAGTGTCTAATACTTCATGCTGTTGTTGTTTGTGTTTCAGGTGTTAGTGTTCTATACTTCATGCTGCTGTTGTTTGTGTTGTTTCAGGTGTGAGTGTCTAATACTTCATGCTGCTGTTGTTTGTGTTGTTTCAGGTGTGAGTGTCCAATACTTCATGCTGCTGTTGTTTGTGTTGTTTCAGGTGTGAGTGTCTAATACTTTATGCTGCTGTTGTTTGTGTTGTTTCAGGTGTGAGTGTCTAATACTTCATGCTGCTGTTGTTTGTGTTGTTTCAGGTGTGAGTGTCTAATACTTCATGCTGCTGTTGTTTGTGTTGTTTCAGGTGTGAGTGTTCTATACTTTATGCTGTTGTTGTTTGTGTTGTTTCAGGTGTGAGTGTCCAATACTTCATGCTGCTGTTTGTGTTGTTTCAGGTGCGAGTGTCCAATACTTCATGCTGTTGTTTGTATTGTTTCAGGTGTGAGTGTCCAATACTTCATGCTGTTGTTTGTGTTGTTTCAGGTGTGAGTGTCCAATACTTCATGTTGTTGTTTGTGTTGTTTCAGGTGCGAGTGTCCAATACTTCATGCTGTTGTTTGTGTTGTTTCAGGTGTGAGTGTTCTATACTTCATGCTGTTGTTTGTGCTGTTTCAGGTGCGAGTGTCCAATACTTCATGGTGCTGTTGTCTGTGTTGTTTCAGGTGTGAGTGTCCAATACTTCATGCTGTTGTTTGTGTTGTTTCAGGTGTGAGTGTCCAATACTTCATGTTGTTGTTTGTGTTGTTTCAGGTGGGAGTGTTCAATACTTCACGCTGTTGTTTGTGTTGTTTCAGGTGTGAGTGTCCAATACTTCATGTTGTTGTTTGTGTTGTTTCAGGTGTGAGTGTCCAATACTTCATGCTGCTGTTTGTGTTGTTTCAGGTGCGAGTGTCCAATACTTCATGCTGTTGTTTGTATTGTTTCAGGTGTGAGTGTCCAATACTTCATGCTGTTGTTTGTGTTGTTTCAGGTGTGAGTGTTCTATACTTCATGCTGTTGTTTGTGTTGTTTCAGGTGTGAGTGTCCAATACTTCATGTTGTTGTTTGTGTTGTTTCAGGTGCGAGTGTCCAATACTTCATGCTGTTGTTTGTGTTGTTTCAGGTGTGAGTGTTCAATACTTCACGCTGTTGTTTGTGTTGTTTCAGGTGTGATTGTCCAGTACTTCACGCTGTTGTTTGTGTTGTTTCAGGTGTGAGTGTCCAATACTTCATGCTGTTGTTTGTGTTGTTTCAGTTGTGAGTGTCCAGTACTTCACGCTGCTGTTGTTTGTTTTGTTTCAGGTGTGAGTGTTCTATACTTCATGTTGCTGTTGTTTGTTTTGTTTCAGGTGTGAGTGTCCAATACTTCATGCTGCTGTTGTTTGTGTTGTTTCAGGTGTGAGTGTCCAATACTTCATGCTGCTGTTGTTTGTGTTGTTTCAGGTGTGAGTGTCCAATACTTCATGCTGTTGTTTTTGTTGTTTCAGGTGTGAGTGTCCAATACTTCATGCTGTTGTTTGTGTTGTTTCAGGTGCGAGTGTTCTATACTTCATGCTGCTGTTGTTTGTGTTGTTTCAGGTGTGAGTGTCCAATACTTCACGCTGTTGTTTGTGTTGTTTCAGGTGTGAGTGTTCTATACTTCATGCTGCTGTTGTTCGTGCTGTTCCACAACAAGAAGGATGTCCGTCACATGTTGGTGTGGCTGTACCCAGAGCTCAGAGACGAAGGTCCTGATGAGACGGTAGGATGGAAACAGTTCATGAAAAAAAATATGAACAGAACAAATGTATATGTATATTTTTACTATGAAAATATGTGATCAAAGAACGTTCAACCTCTCACTGTGAGGTTTCTGGGTTAAAACAGCTAGGTCCATTCGACCCATGTTTGTTGTAAGAAGCAACTTAATTGATCTGGTTGTAAGGCTCATTGACTTGGTTAATAACATGTTGTGAGGCGTTGCTCGAACACTGGTTTGTCTGATCCATAGCAACAACTTTGACTTAGCCTGAAAATGGCAGTTGTGCTCGTTCCTGGAGCAGATTTCGAAAACCATACAATATCTCTTGCCTTAAACACAATGGGTCATGTCGTATTGGCAGGGAATATGATTATTTAATGCTTGTTATTTCTGTTATGACTAATATCCTGGTTGCAGAGTTTCAACCCTTGACACACCAGAAAACTGGTTATGGGTTCAAATCCTGGTTCCCCTCGATTATCTTTGTAGGTTTGTCAGCACCATACCCATGTGCATGGGTTTCACCAAAGGGATAAAAGTCTACATCATTTCGGAATTACCACCCACATAAGGCTGACACACTGTGATATAACTAGAATATTGTTCAAAGCGGTGTTAACACAACTCACTCACTCACTCAATCACTCTTTTGTTTCATGGTATTTAGTGTAGTGTTTAACACCAATTGCATGGATATACCGCCAGTCTCAAAAACTGTTGCTTTCTGTTGCCAGGAGTATGCTGTGAACTGTTCCCAGATCACATGGGCGCGGTTGTCGTCGCACATGGACGTGTTCGCGTTCAGCCACTTCATGGGCTGGGCAATGAAGGCGTTGCTCATCCGGCACTACGGCATCCTGTGGACCATCAGCGTCATGTGGGAGATCACAGAGGTACGTCTCTTTGGAAGACTGATAAAATACGTCCTGGTTAAGATGGTATGATATGTTGCTGGGTTTCCGATAAATTCAATTTGAGGACATTGATATAATGATATAAAAAATGTTGTGAAGATTGTTTTTTCAATTGCAGATAGATTCACATTTGAGGATATTGACTTATTAACCTAAAAAATGTTCTAAAAGATTGGGTTTTTTAATTGATTAGGAAAATGTCATGGAAAATCCTGATTTTTTTCTGAAATGTCCTATGGTGATTTCTTCCTCTGATGTTGGTTTACTAATAGTTTATTTGAAAAGCGTATTATTTCTTAGTCTTTGGGGTTGTTTTGCAGCATGAAAATGGCATTTGGGCATGGGGGTGGAAGAGGGGCAAAAAAAGAGCAAAAGAACATTAATCTTTCAACCATCGTACCAGTGTACTTGAAATCAGTTTTCAAATAGTTTTCTCACAATAGTGCTTTGATATTCTGCGATCTGCTTGTCAGTTGAGAGTCCGACCTTCTCTTACAGATGGCGTTTGCCCACCTTCTGCCCAACTTCGCCGAGTGCTGGTGGGATGCCTGGGTGCTGGACGTGCTGCTGTGCAACGGCATCGGGATCTGGCTGGGGATGTATGTGTGCAAGAAGCTGGAGATGAGGAACTACCACTGGGAGAGCATCAAGTGAGTGTCCTCGCAAGAGCTGAATTTGAATAGGGTGTCGGGTAGCCTTGTGGTTAAAGCGTTCGCTCGTCACGCCAAAGACCTGGGTTCGAATCCCAACATGGATACAATGTGTGAAGCCCATTTCTGGTGTTCCCCGCCGTGATATTGCTGGAATATTGCTAAAAGCGGCATAAAAACATACTCACTCACTCACTCACTCACTAGTTGAATGGGGTATGGCTCTCAGTGTCCCAAGAACATCTAACTGCCAATTACTTTCGAACCCTGGTACCTGTACCTTGTCTCCATTATGTGGGGATTCTGGGTAAGAACTGGTCCTCATGCTGGTCATAAGAGGCTAAATGGATCGGGCGGTCAAAATCTGTGACTTGGTTGATTGTGTGCCTGCTTATTAAATTGCTCATAAAAAAAAGACTGGATTGTCTGGTCCAAACTTGATTATTTACAGGCTGAGGTCATATAGCTGGAATGCCACTGAGTGAAGCACTAAGCAGCAAACAAACAAACAAAAGCTCTGTTATAAAGCAGACTAGGTCACCAGTATCAGCTGGTAGTAAGAGCTGAGTAAACTGAGGATTAGCAGGTCACAATGGCTGCTAATGAAACTTATATTGGGACTTCTTTTTTCTTACTGTGTGGTCGTTCCCTTGGAAAGGATCTCAGCTGTGAATTATGGCAACTTGGCTTGTGTGTCAACAAAATCACAATTGTAAAGCATTGCTTGAACTGTTGGTCACTGTTTATAAGTGCCAAGCTCCATCTGGAAATCTTGTTCATGTTCCACCAAGCAAACTTAACGCTTGACTATCGCTGGGTCGCTCGTAAGTGGTTATTGTACGCAAATGTTAGAGCGTGGGAATAATTGGTTCTGGTTGACTAAAACAGCTGTGTGCTGTACATACAAACTTAGATATATCAATTATATTATTTCAATGTTTATGTTTTATCATTTCTATTCCTGTCATGCTTCTGTTAATTCATCGAGCACAAAAACAATTGTAGAAAGTGTTACATTCATGACAACCACTGCTTTCAACTGTCACTGAAATTCCATTACATCCACATGATTTATTTACCTTCAGGTACCACAACGTGGTTTAATTGATGCAAATTGAATATGAAGCTGTATTTCTGCTTCAAACTATTCATAAATCTATGCACTCTATGCATTGAATTAACTTTACAAAAATAGATGCCAATTCGATTTTTCAAAGCAAACACAAAATAACTCAGTCAATGATTTCAAGATTTATTTATTGTAAACTCAATGTTTGTTTGTAATTGGTTGTTAAGGTTTGTGTCCTGTTACTAATTAGCAAAACTATCAGTCGTTAATCAGCACCCTATGCTTATTAATTCATAGGAGTGGGGTAGTCACAATGACTGTTAGATATCAATATAATTGGATTGATGACCTCAAAGAACGATGCTACTGCTGTGTCCTGATGATTGTGTCATCCAATGGCTTGAATCATTTCCCACATGAGGGGCCGACCTTTCCATATGAAGAGTTGTGGGGTTTAGAGTGCAAGTGGAAAGCCCACCCCACCCTGCAGGTGGAAAGCCCACGCCACCTTTCAAGTGGGAAACCCCACCCCGCCCTGCAAGTGGAAATGCCACCCCGCCCTGTAAGTGGAAACCCCACCCCACCCCACCCCACCCCGCCCTGTAAGTGGAAACCCCACCCCGTCCTGCAAGTAAAAACCCCACCCCGCCCTGCAAGTGGAAACCCCACGCCACTCTTCAAGTGGGAAACCTCACGCCACCCTGTAAGTGGGAGTTACTTCAAGCTTTCCTCCCACATAAGCTGTCTCCCGTGATTTGACTGATGTACAGTCATCGTATCCCAATTGCGTAGATTGATTCTTGTGATGTCGATCACTTGATTGTCTGGTCCTGACTCGATTATTTACAGACTGCCATCATATGGCTGGGATATTGCTGAGTGTGGCACTAACAACATACACTGTCATCCTTAATGTTGCTGACAAAGCCATACACCAGTAGAGTCCTGTACGCCTTGCCAATAGTTAAGTATCATAAGGACTAGCAGAAATTTGCCATTTTTAAGGGATTTGCTATGTGTTATCATTTTGAGAACGAGTGGACTAAAAATGTTAGTTTCTAGTGCTGTTCTAGAAACTATGTTTCTAGCATAACATCTCTGTCAGTGCATGCCCGATTTTAATACTGATTAACCATTATCAATTCTGTTGTCACTCTGTATCATGGCATTTGGTAATTAAAAACCTGTTGTCAATATGGTGGCATTAATCATTCAGACCAGCCAATACGTTGTCAAGACTTCACAGCGACTTCAGCAATTAATGATAATAAGTAGTCTTGGGCTATTGATACATTTGTGAATCTCCATAGTGATGGCATCTACCTGAAATTTTGTTAAAAAGTGGGTTTCTTTTTCCATCTCAGCCTATTGTGACAGCATGCGGAGCTGATATTGGCTGCCACTTGTTGTTTAGCTTGCTGATCTTCCAAATCATAAATGGAAGTCAGGCATTTGACAGTGGGACTTAACAATATTTGAATATTTAAATAATAAGGCTTGATCGAGGGTGCTTTGTCCATATTTCTATAAGGGCCAGTCAAACAGCCTGGTTCACGTGTCAGATACCTCAAATCAGCACATCGGCTTTGAAGCTCCTAACAGCAATACTTCATTCGATCTATAAATCTAGCAGGCTAATGAATGTGTCACACAACTGGAATTGATGGAGCTTGCTTCATAACTTGTCATATGCAAACTGCTTCTTTCCAATGTACACATACCAGCAAATTACAAGTACATGACATGAGATCAATGTTTCAAACCATGTGCCCAACCCTCCATGATTGATAATTTTTGCATCCAAATTGCAGCAAACCTGGCAATGACACACTACATTGAACACTGATTCAGTGTTAGAAATTTGCACTAGTCCTGTAGCCCCTACCAAACTTCCCAATGGTAAAGGTATCCTAAGGACAAGTAGAGATTGGCCAGTTTTAAGGGATTTGCTTTATATGATCATTATAAGGACTAGTGGACAAAAATTGTTAGTTTCTAATCCTGTGATTAGGCTTGGATTCTTGGCTTTTTCTGAATAAAATATCAGTTTGGTACTTAAACAATGTGGCTTCAGTGAATATATTGTTGCAGTCAATGATCCACCACAAGTTCCACCTAGAATTACCTACAGTGATGTTACATTTGCAATTATTTCCTCTAATAAGTGGAGGCACGGGTGGCCCATTCGTCTAAGGCGCCGTGATTTAGCTGTGCAGAGTTGCGTCCCTTGGGCACGCCAGAAACCTATGATTGTGGGTTTGAATCCCGGTTATGTTTCTAAGTTTGTCAGCACCATACCCGTGCTGGTGGGTTTCACCGAAGTGGTAAACATCTGAGACCTGCATCACTTTGGGCTTTCCTCCCACATTAAGCTGACACGCCGCGGTATAACTGTAATACTGTTAAAAGCGGCGTTAAACCCAACTCACTCACTCACTCACTCACTCTAATAAGTGCCAGGTCTCCAATAGGTGCATTCCTCTAATCAGCACCAGGTACAAAAAGTGTGGGGTATGTCTCCCTGGAATAATATAAGTTGAAGCAGGATCCTGAAGGGTACATGAGGTGTTAAGAGTCCTGCGTTAGGTTTTATGCCATGAGCTGGAGGCATTTATCTTTTAATATGACATTGTAAAAGAATTTAAACAAACTCAAAATTGATAAGAAAACAGCTGTTCGGTTGAGCTGAGGTTAGCTTGCACTATGTCACGTGACTTCCATTAACTTGGGGAAAAGTGTGCGACTTTTTGCTTTGAAGCAGGGTATGAGGGATTTATTCTGTCTCTCAGAAATCCACATGCAGCCTGACTTGCTCGTGGTAGGGGTATAAGGGGTTTATGCGCCCGCTGAAAAGTTTATTCTGTTCCAAGGAGTGCTACATCATATTTTATGAAGATCACATGGACTAATTAAATCTCATCATTCTGCCATGGAGGTATGATAAATACAATTATTAGTGTCTGTAGCTTATGCAACACTGCAGTTGAAAATTTAAGTGCAGGTCTCTAATTACCACTGGGCCCCATTACCCACTGGGTATGGGAACTTGTTCAAAGAATATGCACCCTAGGGTCTTATTAGAGGCAATATGGTAAGCTGTAACTGTGATAACTGCAGGCAAAATAATATTCGCTAACTCATTAGATAATATATTTGTTACTTAGATCTCATGTACTATTCATAAAAATATGATACATGCTTTTTTCAACACAGAAAACCACAAAGTTTTGGTGATCAGTTTCTCGAACTGTTTTGTTTCCTAAATGATGTGAGTTGTTAGGTTTCTCATATGCCTGTCTTCCTGTATATAATGTAATATAATCCTGGCAACTGGGCGATACGACTAATATGTCTCCAGTTGTTGTGGGCTCAAGTGAAGGACACAGAAGGGATGTGATATAGGCATATTCAACACACGATAGATGGACATGTACTTGGATTCACATTACAAACCCTCAGAAAGGAGTAACTGATCCTTCTACTGTAAGATTCAGTCCCAGAACAAAATATGCTGCATATGATATTTGTTGACAAATATGTATCTCAGTTTCATATTACACAAGTAGGAAAACAACATCTGCAGATGATTATGCGGAAATTATTCCTATTTCATCAGTTGATTGGGTGCAAGCATTTGTCATGATTAAAAACAAGAGGTCATTGGTCATGTTTGTATATTAACCGGTAGGGAGGACATGAGGATTTTCTGACAGATAGTTTGAAGTCATATTCCGACAGACATATTGTCGTGAGTATGCTGAGAAAAGGCTTTGAAACAGGAGATTAGCCATGGTTTCCCTGACTGAACAGAATCTGGTCCACTGTAGGTAATTGCCTTGAGGTAAATCTATGGAAATATATGGCATAGTTGAGTTTCTGTCTGTGTGCATAGGAAGATGATTGTCAGTCGTGTAGGAGGGGGAGAGGAAGT